AATTATCATTTTGAGCCATACATTGGTAATGTCTGACTGGGCCTCGTGCCACTTTATGTTCAATAAATTGGGCCCTGAGGTCAAAAAGGCTAAGAACCCCTGCAGAGATCTAATAAAGTTATTTGCTTTCAGGGGAAAAAGCTTTGAATTTAGAAAAAAACTTTCTCAGCTGTGTTGTTAAAAAAGAGGTTTTCCAACAAACTCCTTTGTTTTCTTCACGCTGATGTCCGAGAAGCAGTTTAAAATGAATCCGAACACTTAGATGCAGAAGCCTCCTGCTGGCATATGGCATTTTAAATTGTTTTCCCTTTGCCCTACTTGTTCTTGTTTCGGCTAAATGCTTTTTGAAATAAATCAGGAGTCTGTCAGTGATCAATGAAGCTGGATATTAAAGGAGACGGTGCAGGAATGTTGGCCCTTTTTGGCAGTCAAGGCATGTGAGTGCGTGGCAGTTCTGCCTTTCCAATCATCTGTGGAGAGTTGTCAGAGCCTCGGCTGCCATGGTGGGCAAGGTTATTAAGCAGGATGAATGACTAAACAGTCTCCCCAGCTTCATTCAGCCGTCTCATTAGAGCAGGACTGTTTGACTGCTTTTTCTCAAGGAGCCATAGGGAGGACTATTAGAGATGCCCCCATAGTCACCATTGACGAGCCCAGCAGGTCCAATCATTTTAGTCAGAGGACTTACCTTACATCCCTTTCACGCTGTGTCCTCACTTATCTATGGCTATCTTATTCTCCAAACCCACAAGTGTTCCCAAAATCCATTTGCTAATTTATCCATGCTAATTTCAGAACTATACTCCCTGGTATCTCCTTAAATGCAGCGCCAGATCTGATAATAATGTTGATGAAAGCTAATTTATTTTCACTGATCATCCTTGTAATTAGGCAGTCATGGTGATTGGTCTTTGTCGAATGAAATGCGAACCAGATCTCCATCCACCCGCAATTCCTCTGTAGACTGGTTGGCTAATATTAGCGATGCCTTCAGGGGACACTGTAACTCAGTAGCTTATGCAAATCAACACATTACAGCGTTAGCAGCAGACTTGTTGCCAGAAACAGGTGCACAGGTGTTTGTCGTTTATTAGTTGTAGCCAAAGATTTAATCCCTGCAGCTCGTATTTTAATTAGATTCGAGTTCACTTAATAAATTGGCATTTGATTTGATTAAGCGCAGAACAGCTGTGGAAGACGACTCCCAGTTTCTCCGCTTCAGGAAAACCAGAGATAATCACCAAAAGCCAGCGCACAAAACCTGTGTTGCAAAAATCCTCCTGTCAAACATAGAGAGATAAATAGCTGCATAATGGGCACAACTGAGCCAAATATGATTTGTTTCCATTACTCAAGGCTGGCTGCTTCGTTACGAACACCGGCAGGCAGTTACAATAAAAGAAAGTGAAAGCTGGTTTTCCTGGGTTATCACAGAATAAAATTATCTTTTTTTTTTTTCGTTTTTTTATACAGTAAGATGCTTCCTGGCACTTACATTCATGTCCAGTGGGAAAAAAAGTGCAAATTTTCCAACCCAGAACTTTAGTGCTGCTAATACACTGTGAAAACTGTCCACCTAACCAAGTTTTATAATCTTATATCAGCCAAAAAGTCTTTTTGATCTTGTTTTGAGACTGATTTACTAAACAAGAACTGATTGTGTAAGAATAATAATCTTGTTTTCAGAATGTGTCAGATTATTTGTCTTATTTGTCTGAAAATTTGACTCAAATTAAGTCAAATATTTCTGCCAATGGAGTAAGAAAATTTTACTTGGTAAGATTTTGAAATACTTGATTTGACTCAATTTTTTTCTTATTTCAAGAATCTTACCAAGTAAAATTTTCTTACTCCATTGGCAGACATTTTTGACTTAATTTGAGTCAAATTTTCAGACTAATAAGACAAATAATCTTACACATTCTGAAAACAAGATTATTATTCTTACACAATCAGGTCTTGTTTAGTAAAACAGTTGCAAAATTAGATCAAAAAGACTTTTTGGCTGATATAAGAGTTTAAAACTTGGTAAGATGGACAGTTTTTGCCATGTACAGCCTTGCTCTGAAACCTTTGTGACTCTCCGGGGATTTGTTTTTTTTTTTGTACTTTTTATTGTTGTATATATGTATGGATATGCATATATATATATACATGTATGTACATGCAGATGTATAGGTATAGTTTAGCTCATTTTATTTTTGTACTCTTTTATTCTTTTCTATTTCTTTTATTTGCACTGCTGTGGGAGTGGCTCTAATCTCATTATGCACAGGTGTAATGACAATAAAGGCATTCTATTCTATTCTATTCTATTCTATTCTATTCTACATTTAGCCCGTATCTGAGGAGTTCCAGAATGGGGAGGGCTTTGGGTATATCGTTGCGTTTCGGGCCAATGGGACCAGAGGCTGGAAGGAGAAGATGGTGACCTCAGCGGATGCGACCATGTACAAGTACAGGGACGAGACGTTTCCTCCTCTCACCCCGTTTGAAGTGAAAGTTGGCGTGTACAACAATAAGGGGGATGGGCCGTTCAGCAAAGTTGTCGTCATCCACTCTGCGGAGGGAGGTGCGTTAATATTCGTCACTGGGTGGGCTGACAAGGATCGCATCAGAAAAGTTTGAATCATTAATCCGTCGTCTTTGCTTGCTTTGCTTCGCAGAGCCAAGAGAAGCGCCGTCGGACGTGAAAGCTTACAGCATTTCTTCCTCAGAAATCAGGGTGACCTGGAAACCGCCAAATCCCGGCCCTGGCAGACCCAGAGGATATGAGGTATTTATACATATTTCTATTCTAGTAGGACTTTTTGCACAAGCTTTCATTTCTTTTGTGGATTAGCTCAGCTGTTCTTGAAAACACTAATTTTCCTCTTGTCTTATTCTCTGTTTAATAGCTCAGCTACTGGAAGGAATCAGAGCAGGAAGAGTCGGGGAAGAAACAGCACACAGTGAAAAACGAAACATCCATGGTTCTGACAGGACTGGATGGAAACAGTGTTTATCTTATTACAGTAAAAGGCTTCAACAACATCGGCCAGGGTCCTGCCAACGGTCCTGTCTCAGCCAAGACAAGAAAATCTCGTGAGTGCAGCACCAAAACTAGTCTTTTGATCACGTAAAGAAAATGCATGCTACAGTTTGCTCAAAACCTTGTAAACCAGAGACGGCTGAACGTTTCTGCATTCTGTTTGTCTTCACAGCTCCTGCTCAGCCTCCTACCAACCTTATGTGGATTCAGGAAGGCAATAACATTTCATTAAGCTGGGATCCAGTGAAGGCAAAAGACAATGAGTCTGACGTCATCGGGTACATGGTAACAATCTTCTGCTTCATCAGCTTTATAAGACTGAAGACAATTTGCAGAAGTATTTTTAGTATTTAAAGTTCTCCCGAGTTGACCTCAGCATATGGCACACAAAGCATTCTGGGTAAATGGTCACATGGATAGGTCCTCGGTGCGAGGCTGCTAGCGAGCTATATCCACCCTGAAGGTTAATCTTGGACAATATCTGATGATCGACTCTTTTAAATGAAACCAGAGAGCGTTGACAGAGAGGAGAAGGTAGAAATGACTCAGCCTGGAACTGAAACTATGGATGGAGGACAACAGAGCTGCTTCATGAAAGAAGAACCTCAGCTTAGCCTGTTAGCTTTAGCGTTAGCCCCAAAGCTAAATTGTCTTATATGTATTAGCTCGGCGCTACACATTCTCCTCTCATCACTGATGACAGAGAGGGGAATGCAAAAATGACTCAGCCTGCAACTGAAAATATGGATGGAGGACCTCAGTTTAGCTTGTTTGTTGCGCTAGCGCCGAGCTAATACATATAAGGCAATATAGTGTCAGCGCTAGCGCAAAGGCTAACAGACTAAACTGAGGTTCTTCTTCCATGAAGCAGCTCTGTTGTCCTCCATCTATATTTTCAGTTCCAGGCTGAGTCATTTCTACCTTCTCTGTCAACGCTCTCTGGTTTCATTTAAAAGAGTCGATCATCAGATATTGTCCAAGATTAACCTTCAGGGTGGATATAGCTCGCTCACACCAAGGATCTATCCACGTCATCATTTACCCAGAATGCCTTGTGTGTAAATAAAATGGCTCAGTCTGTGTTAAAATATATTTTTAAAAATGTACAAAACTAAACATCCTACAGTATTTTTACAGTCTTTATTTTACAGTTAAAATATATGTTTATCAAATAAAATCTACTGTTACAACTAATCGGGGATCCCTTTAATCATTTGTGTGTAAAAAATATTGTTCAGTAAATGCAGTTTGTTTTTTACTGATGCAAAATGCAATGGCCTGCAAGTAATTGAATAGAAACTACTGAATGTATAGTTATGAAAGCTAGTTAAAGCAACATAGACACATTTTTACTGAAGTAAAATAGAGGAACGTACATGTGGTGTAAACTAGAAGTGGGTTTTTGCACTTGTCCTGCAGGTGTTACTCAAACAGGAGGGCCGAGGTCACATCCAGGTGACAAGAACCATTAACCCTTCCACCATGCTCTCACTGCCAGAGGGGGGCACTTACACCATTGATGTGCGCGCCCTCAGTGAAGGTGGAGAGGGAGCCTTAACCTCCCAAGTTCGAGTTGTCACCTCCTCTGGTGAGCCCAGAGCCGGTCAGCTGTATTTCCTCACTCACACACTGTCATGCACGACCTCTAAACCATAAACCTCCATACAGAAGCTGCCTTGTGTTTGGAGCCCTTTCTGTGTCCTGGCCAGAATGCTGTCAACACGCTTATTGTGCAACTGAAGTTTCCTTTGGTTAATGCTACTTTAATTACCCTGCCCACTCAAACCGTCCTACTTGTGCACAGCCAATTAACTCCAAAGCAACAGCATGAGCAGAAGGCTTGTGGTCTTTGGTGTGATAAAGGAGCTCTGCAGGGCAATATGTTGATAATTTTTCTTCTGCTTTCTGTTTTCTTTCAATGTTGTTTTTATGTCTTTTTCGGGGGAAAAAATGCCTTCACTACTCCTGACTCCAGAAGATCAATTCATTTAGAAGACTAATGAACTCACTTAGCGTCCAGAATGAATGTATTATTGGGTCCATTTGTATCGACTAACCTCCTTTTCCCTTCTCTTTCAGGCGTTCGAGCAAAAAACCACCAGTGCTCAGTGCACTGTCTGCTACAGAGCCTAACATGGACAGCACTACTCCTGGTTTTACTGGTGCCTTCAGCCTCTTGGTGAGGAAACTGTGCTATTCTCACATGTATGAAAGGCAGGGGGGCACCAGTCTCCTGCTCCCTAACTCCCTCTGACTGCCTGATTGCTTTGGCCTTACCCATCTGAAAGGGCCCGAGGCGTGCCGACAGGGGGGTTGAGTCTGCCGGTTAACATGAAGCTCGTCCGAGTCCCATCTTTTCCTCTTCCTTATTTATTTTGAGGCCCGGATGTTTTGATTTTCGCACAGTTCTTTCCGAACGTCACAGTCGTGTTGAACCATAGTGTACTTTGTGTAGAAAGATTTTGTTTAATCATTTATTTTAACATTCTGTGCCCCTCTCATTGACTGGCATCTAAACCACTTGCAGACAGCTCCTGCAGCTCTGTGGACCCACGGAGCATGAACAATTCCTTGAAAGCTGCTGTGGTGGTAACACAGGGATCAGCCGGCCTGTTTCTTTTCATTACTCATCTGCATCAATTTACCCCTTGGCTGCCTAACAGCAATGCAGCAGAAGCTCAGTAGAAATAAGTGCATTGTTTTCTTATTCATACGCTGAGAAGAAGAAGAAAAAAAACATTTTTATATGGACTCGAGAATCTTACTATTTCCAGATTTGCTTTTTGTACATTGTGTTACCTTTAGACAAATACCAGTGGTGTGTAACAGCGATGTCCAACTCTGTTTTTTGGTAGTGATAAAGCAATGCTTGGTGATACGTTTGTTGGATGTATGGAAGTAGGAAACAGGTACTTAACCTTTAGTGCCCAAACTTCTGGATAGACAAAGACAACTCTGTACGGACTCCTGGTGTCAGTACAAATAAATGTGATGTATATTTTTTACATACTCTCTGTTTGCAATTTATAACGTTGAGAAATGAAATTGTTATAAAGAAGCACAAAGCCTGCATATAACTGCTGTTTTATTACTGAGCGGTCCGGTAAAGGTTTTATAAAGGTCGTATTAATGATTTTTGTCAGAACAGAGAAAAAGCCCATCACAGTTTACCAAATCTTAACATCATGTCTTCAGTTCACTCATTTAAAAAGTTAAGCTCCAAAGATATTCTCATTACAGTCACATTTTATTTTAATAAAAAAACACACTGATAGATAATATATTTTTATTTAATAGTGTGTTTGATATAATTGTTGAACAAATTATTTAGACTGAAACCATGGTTTTAAAGGGGCAGTATCATGTAAAATCAACTTTTTTGAGTTTAATATCATGTTATAATGTTATACTCTCATAAAAAACATGTCCAAATCCTTGCTYTGACTCATTCATGCATGTTTGAGAAATCCTGCAGCGTTTTTAGGAAGCCATGCTGAGGAGCAAAACGACAGGTGGGGACCAG